AAAACTTGAGACTGCACATGCGCGCTAGCTGGATCAGCCTAAAATTTTTGTTTTTTGTTTGTTTGTTTTTTTAACGAATTTGAGAGTCATAGAAAACATTTATGTGACAATTCACCTCAGATTTTGCTGCTGATTTGAAATTTGTGTCAACACAAAGTCTGCAAGCATTTTTGAATTTTGAACTATTTACTGTATGTCACATAATAGGAACACGAACTCAAAATGACAGTGACACTTATACATAGTAGCCTACCTACATAATAATTACTACCAAGAAAAACATAAAATAAAATATAGAAATAAAATAAACTTAAATATAGAAAATAAAGATCTGTTTCCTCACTGCACACAAATGGCAACAAACCATTTAATGATGGCTATCTGACTTAATTAAACAAACATAAAACATCTTGAAGTGTGCATTCTGTGCAATCAACTGCATTCAGTTACATTTGCTTGCAAGTATATAATTATATATATTCAACATAAATGTTCTTGAAGCCTTGCCCTAAAAAAAATATTAATGAAAATGAATATGAAATGCTATGCAGTGCAGTGCAACAAAAAAAAAAAAAATCAGCTCTCTAAGCTGTGTGTGTCTTCATCTTTAATAAAGTGGTGCTTACTAGGGCTGCTTTAATTTTCATGTTTGGCCTACATGTTGCTATTCAGAAACAGCAAAGCATTTACACTAGCAGTGCTGAGGCAGGTCCGACGGTTCTCCAATGTGCGACCAGAGATGCTGAAGGCTGATTCACAACTCACACTAGATGCAGGCACACAACGTATTTTTCTTGCCAGTTGTGCCATTGATGGAAACATATTTTGGTTGTGTTTCCAAAAACTATGAATGTCTCTGTCATTTTCCATTGTGGGCTTGTGCTTCAAATATTGTTCTAGCTCATCAACCCCTGAATCCAGTTCAGCATCCTCAATGTCAGCCCACTGACTAAAGTTTTGCTCTGGTCCTGCTGGTGCTGGCCCAGCCATCTCATCTTCCTCTTCCTCTTGCATCTGCTGGGCATTCACCTCAGTTGTAGCTCTTTTAGGGAAGCTGGCCAACTCGCCACGTGCACTTTCATATATTTCCTCCCTCTCTTCTGTGGTGAACATCCGAAGCTGCTTGAATTTCGGCCAGAGCAGCACGGCAAGCTTTTCATGGTGTCCCAAAACTATGCGTTCAGCCAAAAGACCCAAGCACCTATTAAATAGAATAGAATGTATTTAGTTGAATAATCCATTAAAAAAACACGTAATTAGGTCTAACTATAGCAAATTAAATGGATAATATTATTTTTATTTTTTATAGAGCACATGTACTTACTACAAATGCAGGCAATCTGAAGAGAAGAGTAATTATTAGACACTTACCTGTGTTTCAGTATCCTGAGCGGCGCTGGTTCAGCTTGGGACTGTGAGATTTGGCAGTGGGTCATCACCAGCATGGTTTTCCAGAGGGCTACTAAGTTGATTGTACAATATTTTGAGCCACTGAGTTCTTCAGTTGCCTGCTTAAAAGGCTGCAGGAATTGGACAAGCATCTGAAGAATGTCTTTCGATATGTGACTCATGCGATGCATCTCTCCTCGTCCAAGCAGAATGGACTGAATGTCTTCAAATCTCGAGTTTAGTATTCCATCTTGTTTCACATTCTTGTTTCAAAGACTGCTTAAGTTGAAGTTGTAATCCAGAATGTTTAAAAAATGTTGTCAGGGTCTTGCATTGCTCAATGCAACTTCTTACTTCTTGCAGTTCTTCCTCATCTCCATCATGCTCTTCATCACCTTCCTTAGACTTCTTAAAAGTGTGCTTCAGCACAGTATTCAGTACGTGTGCTATACAGCTTTTGTGCATCCATCGAGAGAGCGCTGCCTGCACATATGCTCCTTGGTCACTGACAAACACAAGTCTGTCGATCTCATCTGGCAATAGACCAAATTCACCTAATTGCTTGAACAGTTCTGTCTTCAGGTTTAAAGCCGTTTTCTTTGCCCCCGATGGAAATGCACATGTACATATGATCCTGGTATTAAATTCCCAGGCATCGTCTATATAATGCAGTGTAATGCAGGTGTAACTGACCTTCCGATGGTCATCTGTCCACATATCTGTGGATGCACCGCATGCCAGTCCTTCAGCTATGGCTTTCCTAACTGTTGGCAGAAGCTCTGTTCTGAGACTTTCATATTTCTTCTGTGTGAAACGAGACACCGTCACACCAGATGGAAGTAAGTCCTTCACGTTACACCGGCCATGTGTTGCTCACGTGTCTAATAATGTCTGTGCTAATTTGGTGAACGCGGGTGTTTCAAACATGCTAAAGGCCCTTAAATCCTTTGCGCAGACTTTAGTACATTTTTCCAAAATCGCATCCTTTGCTTTTTTTGGAACTACACCCATCCTAAGAAACGGCGCCACTGAAGTTTTTTGGGTCAAAACATTTTTCCCACACGACCTGGTGTGCTTTAAAAGATGTGATGTGCCAGTTTTTGCTGAATCAAACTTCAACAGTGCGTCACACTTATTACACTTAACTGCACTTACTTTTTTCTCATCTTTGTCTACAATTTGCATGAAGGATGCCCAGACAGAAGAGGAGCCCGTAGGTTTTACCTCTTTGTACTCACTGTTTTTTAGCTTTTTTCGCACATCACTGAAGAAGGTATCCATTATTACCGTGCGCGCAGTGCCCTGGCTTGCATTAACTCTCTCTGACTGAGTCTGGGCGCGGCCGCGCGCGCTCTGCTTCTAACGGCAGAGAGAGAGAGAGAGATCGCTTTTTTTATTTCTCTTTTCTTTACCTACTTTTAAAAGTTGCAAAAAAACACAAGCAGTGCTGCTGACTGACTCATTCTGGCTCTGATCGAGTCAGACTCCGATAGCACGGGTATTGCACACAATGTTAAACAGACCCGGGACCCGAAGTAATAAATTCGGACCCGACCCGGACCCGGCTGATCATTTAAAGGAACACTCCGACTTTTTGGGACTTTAGCCTATTCACCTTACCCCCCAGAGTTAGATAAGTCCATACATACCTTTTTCATCTCCGTGCGTGCTATAAGTCTGTTTGACGCACCCACCGCTAGCCTAGCTTAGCACAAAGACTGGATGTGACTGGTTGCAGCTTTCATACTGATCCAAATGAGTGGCAAAATAACGCAAACGTTTTCCTATTTACATGTTGTGATTTGTATAGTCACATAATGTACAAATAACAAAGTCAAATGAGACACAGACATCTTTTAACCGTATAAAACCTGGGAACTATTCTCTGAAGGCGAAGCACTGCTACTTTGACGGTGTAATAACCGCATCACCGGAGACACGTTGTGGTGAGGAGCGGAGAGTTTCGCTCGGTGTTTGGGTAATAGAGTCAGCAATTTATAAATAGTAAAAGCGTAGTTTAGAGTCATGGGTTTTCGCTCTATTGTAAATAGCTGCGACTGTAAACAGGGGAGGTAACCATGTTTCACAGAATTCCAACTAAATATGCTGACTGGATGAAGAAATGGCTAACTTACTCTGGATATTTATCCAAACACACCTAAGATTATCAAGGGACATTATGTTTGCTCGGTACATTTCAATGAGGACGACTATTTTGAAAAAATGGAATTTGCCACACGGACCATAATGTGCTGAAGGATACGGCTATCCCATCGATAGCACAGACAGGACAAGTGAATCACCTGCGGCTGAGGTAAGTGTTCCGTTATGTTTTTAGATGACCTACTGTAACAGTGCCTTTAGCCAGATCTAACGTTAGTGACACTATTATATGATTAGGGTATGAATATGTTTTTATCTTGATGCGGTGCGGACGCGCTTGGGGAAAATAAACGAGCGCGTTCACCGCGTTGAACTTGCACCCTGCGTGCGGCGCGCCTAGTAGCCTAAATTTGAAATAACCATGGAAATAACGAACTTGAGCGTGCAAAAGGGTACGATAGGCTGTGAGTTCATTGTGCAAAAACAATTTGTGCTATTACTTTCCCCTTTTTCTATCCTATAGTAATGCAATCCTGTATATTATATAGGCTAAATAGCCTACATTTGGTTCAGTTAATAAATTGCATTTAAAATATATTGATTCCTGTAATAATAATTATTTATTCATGTGATATTTATAAATCTGGGTGCGTTTTTGGTTGGAAATCAATGAAACATGGTACTGTATTACCTGGTCTCCCCTGTTTATTGTCACAGCTCATACAATAAAGCAAACACCCATGATAAACTATGCTTTTCTATCCAACGTTAGTAATTGCTGACTCTTTATTCCAACGCTGAGCGAAGCAAACTCTCTGCTCCTCGTCACGGTGCGTCTCAGGTGATTGTTATCACTCTCCCCAAGTAGCAGTGCTTCGCCTTCAGAAAATATAGTATTTATACGGTCAAAAGATGTCTGTGTCTCATATGGCCTTGATATTTTGCACACTCTGTGACTATACAAACCACAACATGTAAATAGGAAAACGTTTGCGTTATTTTGTCACTCATTTGGATTAGTATGAAAGCTGCAACCATTCACATCCAGTCTTTGTGCTAAGCTAGGCTAGCGGTGGGTGCGTCAAACAGACTTATAGCACGCACGGAGATGAAAAAGGTATGTATGGACTTATCTAACTCTGGGGGGTAAGGTGAATAGGCTAAAGTCCCAAAAAGTCGGAGTGTTCCTTTAAATTGTAGACCCGAACCCGTACGGGTCCCGGGTCGACGGGTCTCGGGTGCACTGTGAAGACCTCTAATGTGTTACACTGTTTAGAGCCCGGTGGGCCATTTCAAGGTAACATTAACAGCTTATTTTGGATATAAAAATGTACTGTTACAACTTAGTTGTTTTAAAAGGAAAAAAAAAAATACCCTCAAGATTCTCTGGCTGGTCAATCAGTCGAAGCATCATTCCTGTGTGCCAAATTTGCTCAGGAGTTTTATTCCCTTCTGTTCTCAGTGGGTGGTTGTTCCAACCTTCCACAAAAGCCTCAGGTCTGCCTTCAGTTTAGGAAGGAATGTCAGGTGGACTGTCAAAAGATCTTCTACAAAGGGACTGTCACAGAACAGAAGGGCACAGACTGGTGAGTATGAACAGAGTTTATTGAATTAAGGCACAGAATGGTAAGTAGCGTGGTAGTTGAAGTTGGAGATGGATATAAACAGTCTGATGATGGTTTTCTTATCTGAATAGGAGCGGGAGGTCGGAGAGCTGGCGGGAGCAGCGGAGAGAGGATCGGAGCTGGAGACTGGAGTGGACTGGCAGCAGACGGGGACCAAGGACGGGAACAGACGGGAGGCTGACGGGCTGGAGAATCAATGCAGGTAAGTAATAGCAGGAACGTGAGATAGCGATAGGGAGTCTGTAGTCGTGGTAAAGACGAGACCAGACAGTGAGTGACTGAATGAGGTGAGTATATATGGAGTGGATGATAGTCCGGATAAGTGATGGCAGGTGGTGACGGCAGGTGGTGATGATTAGTAGTCAGGGGAACCGGAACGAGTAGGCGGAGTGAAGGTATCTGGTGCTGACGCTGATGGATCCGTGACAGGGACAGGGTCGGAGTATGTCACTTTCACATATGAGCTTTGAAAACATAACATTAATCATTGAATTGCCTTTTGTAAATACATCTCATTGATTTTTTTTTTTCCCCAGCATTAAACCATTTCTAAAATTCCACAATGATAGGATTAAAAAAAAAAAAAAAAAAAAAAAACAACAGAAGATGGACAACAACAAACCTTACAAACATGAACAAATCAAATAATAATAGAACAGACACAGGAAACATTTAACTGACCAAGATGTACAACAATCTACAGAAAGTAGATGATAAATAGCACAAAATGATGAGACAAACCCTTACCTCTGGAGGACACATCAAGAAGGTGATCCTTCTCTAGGCTGTGGAGTGTGTTGTAATATTTTGATATCACACATGTTCTGACATCCCGCCACAAACGTTCAATCCTACGGATTTAGAAATGATTATTTTAACAATCGAGGGAATGATAAAATGTTATTATGTTATGATTTTACACACAATATACCTCTTTATTAGTTTGGTAAAAGTATCCAAAATACAAAAGAGTGAAAACCTTTGATTATGGACACTTTTTCCTGACATGAAGCTTCCTCGATCAGTTCCACGGACATTGGGCTATTTCAACATTCTCCACTCCCTGATCACCTCTCACCCTGAAGTGCACACACAGATGACCAGTGTGTTAAAATCTGTCAGAGATGTACAATACACAGAAATAAAGTGCTACATTGTGTCATTTAAAATCATAATCCTTGAGAACCCTGAGTTTACAGTAAAATCTTTCTTAAAATATAACATCTATCATGTTTGTTACTGTACCTTGAAGCCTGTAAAAACTTACATTGAAGCCTGTAAAAACTTAACTTGAAGGTATTCCATGCCCTTTAGTATCTTTTTTGAAGGCAGTGAATGCGGTTGATGCACGATTGTTTGTTGCAGCATTTAAGCACATCACCTGTTACGAGAAATTTTCATAAATGTACATTTTCTATTTGTCCATATCTTAAATGTACAGTTGGATTACACTCTGGTCCCTTCATGCCTCAGGGAATCTGATAATTTAACATTTTAAATAGATAAATAATAAATAATTTAATTTAACTCTTACTACCATGCGGCATCCTATATTATAACTTTTTCTCCCACGTCAACAAGGTAGTATTTCAGCCATCTGAATGCAAACATGTAATTATTTGGTGTACATCATAGCAAATTTGAAGAAGGCCAACACATCAGAAGGCCAACACATGAAAAGACCCAATGAAATGAAATCTTACCTTCCTGGAGTAGCCGTCCACTGCACCAAAAAGTACAATGTTGTACCTGATGGGAACAAAATAAAGAACCACATTACCAGTTTCAACCTGGATTTTTATTGTAGAAATGTCATGGCAACATAATTATGCTTTGAGATCTATCAGTGTCTGCATCATTATATTTCACAAGATAAATAAATAATGAATAAACTGTACTGTACTGTACAGTACTGACCTGATAAGTTTGTGGTTAGTGTCGACATGCCACAGTGAAAGGGGCCCCCTGACAGAGTAAGTTCTTCGAACAATGCAGCCCAGTCCAGTCAGTCTAGAAAGAATCCCAAGCGAGTCCACTCGATGCATTGATGCAGTAACTCTCCTCCACTGGACGTGGATTCCCATGGACTTTAGCCTCCCTTTGACCATCCGATAGCCTGCTGTGGGCATTTCATTTTTGATGCGTTGGACTGCATTATCAAGCTCTTGGTCAGTAGCATTGCTGTAGTTCTGTCTGGCAGAGAGACTCCCTCATCCGTCTGTTAACTGTACTGGCTGAAACCCACAGTAACTTTGCAATGCAGTTCACAGACAGATTTATCTCCAAAAGCTCAACAAGTCTCTCCTTCTCTAAATTGTACCTGGGACGCCCCATCTCTCCAGCTACAGTTTCAACAGTACTGCTGGTAACTTCAGCAATATTCAATGTGGTCCATGACCAAATGGAGGAAATCTCTTAACGCCTGTACAATATCTGGGGGGACATTAGCATGCCTTGACAGTGCTTCCCAGAGGTACAGCTCTTGCCAACATGCAAACTGTAAGAAGTCCAAGTCAAGAGGTGTTCTTGAAAGTGCTGACTCTAATTTAATGATCAGCCTGGAAGTAATCTCACGTCTGACTATGTCCTGTTGAAGTGAAAAACAACATGAAATTAACACTTAAGAATATATTGAATACATATTCATTAATTCATTAATTCATCCATTTTAAATAGCAAGGGGGCGGGGGGGGGGGGGGGGTAAAGTTGTGACGTGTAGTTAAATTGGATTATACTAACATAAACGGCCACTAGTTCAACTAAAACACTTGCCATGAGAGGTTTGACTAAATTTTATAGTTAACGTTACGTTAGTTTGATGAGAGACAGCTAAGGTTAGCCCCTGCTGAGTTTGCTTAAAACTAGCTAGTTAAGGTTGATTAGCTTATGTCAGCCTATATATGTTCCAAACAAATTTCAGATTAAATTGCTACATTGTCAAACACATAGCTCCCATCATATATCATTATCACTTACGCCTACAGCTTTAGGTGTCACCGCCATTCCGTCCACTTTGCAGTGTGTTACTGAACTCCGTCTTCCGTAAGATACATTTACTCCGTGCTTCCTGTAATTAATGAGAGCTGTCAAACAAGGTAGAAGGATGTCTCTGTGGTTGTGATGACGATGAAAGGTGACCAATCATAAGAGGGCCAGTGCCTTCCCATAGGTCCCGCCCCCAAATTGTCAAAAGTCATGTAGACGCCAGGGAGCAGAAATCAGCTGAGCGAGCAGAAATCCACTGCGCGAGCAAAACAGCACTGCGCGAGCAAAACAGCACTCCGCGCGCAAAACAGCACTCCGCGAGCAAAAGCCCGCTGCGCGCGAGCAGGATTCCATTGTACAAGCAGAGTTAACCTATGAGAGAATGCCAGGCGCTCGCTCGCAGCTACCAGTACACCTCTCGGTTGTTGAATTTGTGCGTGATTACTTTTCTCGTGCCAGCTGAAGGTTCATTTTCGCGCCCGTGAAATAACATAATGTGCTCGTGAGCATGTCTTACGCGCTCGTAACTTTTGACTAAAAAATAACGCCATAGAAGTGGAACATCCAGACAACACGAAGAACTGATGAAATCCAGATGAGGCACGAGCACAGGACCACACCGAATGACAACCACAACAATCTGACAACAAGAGGGAGAAAATGCTGGGTATATATAAGAACTGAAATGAATGGCAGCTGGTGACACTAATCAACACAACAAGTAACCACACCCACACAATTACACTCACACAGACACATCAGCATGAGACGATTCATGAACCGTGACAGTAGGTGACGGTATGTCACTAGTTACGTTTACATGGACACAATCGGAATGAAATCAATACGATTGATGAATCCAATCATAGTGTTTACATGAATGATAAATAAAGTGATCGGGTTGATGTGCGCGTTTATATGTCACAAGATTCAAATTGTAATTGATTTTTTGACATGCGCACACTGCACGAATATGCCACTGTTTGTGCATAACTATTCTCCCCTATTGGTTCTGTATTTGTTTTAAACAACAGACTTAATATTTATCCATCTCTGGTCATGATTTGGAGACGATCAGCATGAACCGTTTTGCTGTGCTTATTGTATTTATCATGCAGTAAAACCCCGCGCCCAAAAGTCGTGTGTGGAATCTAAAACAAGCACCAGTGGGATGTTGTCCTGCTTCACTTCACAGACACTGAGTGAAATGAGAACTTTTTAATAACGGAAAACTCATTTATAGGACACTTTATTCAAAAGGAAAAACAGCTCGTTACGTGCGTCTCGTCATTACGCTATTTCAACGTCAAGTGTTACTCGTCAACACGTGTCACTGTTAAACTGTATACCTCCACGGGCAAAATTATGGTGGGGCGACGTGTGTCTGAGCTGCTTAGAGAGGCAGCTGACCCAGATAGCAAACTGACATTGAATCAACGTGGAAATATGACATCGAAACAACGTTGATCTGACATTGTTTTGCTCATCGAATTAACGTTGAACCAACGTCAGACGCGTCATTCTTTCAAAACTAACGGAAAATCAACTTGAAATCAACGCGTTGTTTCAACGTTATGAAAGCAAACCAATTTTCGATTTCATTTAGCTTTGAAGAATGCCGCGTCTGACGTTGGTTCAACGTTAATTCGATGAGCAAATCAACGTTGTTTCAATGTCATGAGAGACGTCGTTTCCACGTTGATTCAATGTCAGTTTGCTGTCTGGGGATAGACTGGAAGAAATGGATCAGTGTGAGTAAAATATTTGAAAGTCATTGTGTATCCATTGTATCCTATAGTTATAGTACATCTAATCCACGATCCATCTCTGTACAGCACCACGAATATGGATCGTGGATTATGCCATATACACTGAAAAAATGGCAATGGGCAGATTGTTGAATTTGCCTAAATGCATTTCGTATTTCCTACATGATTATTTCATGTTTCTCATCCAAACATATTTTAGTCTTGTGCCATTAATTTAATGTTGAAGGATGTTCAACCTTTGAAAAAAAATCATGTTGAAATGAAAGAAATCAGTTATGTTTTCTCTGGAAACTCCGCCCCCATGAGAACCGTTAACTGCTCGTGCGCGCCACTCCGCCATTTTCTCTCACGCTTTGGAAGGTGGAAGCAGAGCCCGTGGAAGCTGACTGCAAGTTGTCGTGGTGGAAAGCTACAGTCGAAGGTAATTAACATTTTTTAACTGAAATTCTATTGAGAAACAGTTAGTAGTCCGTTTGAGCGTATTTATTTTCACCGAGGGAACTTTTTTTATTTACATTACTGATTTTAGGGAAAGGCAAAAGTTAGGCCTAGTGCAAATGTTTAAGGTAACGTTAAGTTAGTTAAGTTAACGTAACGTTATGTATCCCGTTTAAAATCCGACTTGCATTACAGTCATTTAATGGTGTACAGTCACAAAATGGTGTACAGTCATTTAGGCATATTTTTTCTGTGTATGAGAACTATTTCGCGTCAGATAATGAGTGGCGTCAATGCATTTTGGGTGGAGGAGGGGATATATTAGGCCTGAACGTGAATGTGAATGTTAAAATGCTTTCTGGGTCTGGCCGAACTGTAAAGTTATACCTTTTTACATTTTATCACAAAAAACACAAAAGTTACTTGTTATTCCGCGCTTATTGCAAATTCTATTTTATAGAAGCTAACGAAGTTTAATTCTGCAACGAATGGAAAAATCCTGTCAGGTAATGAGTTTTGCCGACAGGGGTGGAGGGATAAAGAACGTAGCTGCTAATGTCTAAATGTTAATCGACTTTATTTTCTCATTGGGAAATCTGGAAGTCTCATAAAATGCTTGCCACGTTCAAATTGTGCTGAAATAATACAAATCCGCTCCAAATCCGCACTGGAGCAGAAGCATCGATAAGAGTTAACGTCGAGGGCATATAATATCGATGTTTCATAACTCCTGGTTCTCTTGTGGAACCAGTTTTCAATTCCAATCCCTAACTGCGACAATTTCACTCGGATATGCGACTAAAATAGATGTGTGCGAACTGTAAAATGTATTTTGGAGCACAAACAAAAAGTCGCTGCGGATCAGTCTTTAATACCTTAAATTGTAAAATAAGGGGTTTAAAAAATATTAGTCATACTGCCTAATGTGATTATTAAACGTCAAAGGCTATGACTTATGGAAGTTCATATGAGTAGCAAGCAAATAATTTTCAATTTGAAATGTAATACGCAAAATGACAATGCAATATGTAAAATGGCAATGCATTTCTGTATTTAATTTCCTATGCATTTGTCCAACGTTTGGTGCTAGATTTAAATGATATAATTTACATTTTCCATTTCATACACTAGATTTAAGTTTTAAAACTACAATCTGTTAAAAACATTACCGTTTACTAATGAAACCTCATTCTAAGCCTTATTAGTAACACTGCTACAATAAGAATTTATCAGTTTATTATTGTTATTATTATTATTTTTATTAAAAAGGAAATGTGCTCAATTCCCTGAAACCCTAACTAGCCCACCTCTGGGAATATGTTATTGCTTTAAAACTAATTATTTTTATTTATTTATTCAAATATTTTACAGATATCAGATTCATGTACCAGTGCACATGCAATGTGACTAGTGAGTTGTCTCTAGTAGTGGTGAGTATTTTTGTAAAACTACTGCAAGTATATTTGATATCTTTCTCTATGTTGTGTTTGTCCATGTCATTTCAATATTCCTCTCTATGGAAATGTTAAAAAAAAAAATTTTCTGTCTCCCTCCAGTGAATGTGGCAGTGTAAAGGGTTCCTGGTAGCAGTTCCAAGTAGATTGGCATTACTAAGTCATTATAAACTGAGACATCCACACTTTGGGCGTACAAGCCGTTATCCATGTAAGTACTCAGAATGCCCATGCACATTTAAGACATGGAATGCTTTAGAAGACGGCTCAATTGCGTGAGACTCGCGCTCAATGCGTGTGAGAGTTGGCAACCCTGCAAAAGGCATCAAGAGCTGTATACGAAATGGGGAAAACGTATAAAAACCCGCTTCTTTTTTCTCGTCACTTTAGCCTTCAAGGCTAAAGTGACGAGAAAAAAAGAAGCGGGTTATTATACGTTTTTTCGTCCACTGGTATCGTCCCATGCTTTTTTATTATTGCTAGGAAAGCAATCTTACATTGCCTCTCTTGTTGCCTTTTGACTGAAAATGATAAAGAAAAGTCACACAATGTGATATCATATCAATATTTTATTTTCTGAGTTGTGTATTCTGAGTTTGTTGCAGTAAAAATCCAAAGACTAAGTGTCAGTAGCTCACTGAGTTCAACCATTTGACATCATCTGTAGAAACCCTAATTTATGTAGATCAGCGGGGTTAAAAATGTATTTTTAAAAAAACTGCTCTTCTTTTCACCCGTGGCCAGGATGATGATGTCGATATTAGCCAAGAGTGTAATCATCAAGGGGCTCTGCGTATACCTCAATTAGGACCCAGACAATTTAGTAAAAGAGTATGTGGAGTTCAAAGGAGTTCAATTTATCTTTCATAATTAAAAGCTCATTAACCAACCAACCTGCTAGTTCGATAATAGATCAGGCCCTTTAACAGGATTGTTTTCTTTCTTTTTTTTTGCGGCCTAAAATGACTGAATTTTCAGTGGCTCAAAATTTGCGGCATTGTTCCTTTTGTTGTTGAAGGGTTTTGAAATGGACATATATTCTGAGGTGATCATTCCACAGTCACATAGCATGTTTTATTAAGTTAGATGCAACAAATACTTATAAAGTTATAGTTTAGAAGTAGTGCAGCTGTGTATAAAGCCAATTGGATGTCTTGGGGTTAAAATTGTAGGACCATCCACAATCCTAGAACTAGTCTAACAGTAATCTGTAATCAGTCATCTATGTTTCTTGGTCTTATCTGGTTTACATTGTATGCAAGCTCTTTCATGATATCTACATTATTAAATGATTGAAATTACATTTGTTATAATATTCCCAAAGCAGTGTCCGGTGTTCTGTAGAATCTCATTTTGTCTGCATTCTGCAGGTTGGTGACGAAGCCTCTATTCAAAAATCCACAGAGGAGACCACAGTGGGACTCTACATTCTAAAATTTTATGACTGATCTGACGACATTGGGATTGTCCTTGAAGGCCAGAACATCTTGCAAGGCTTGGATAACTTTGCATTAACTACGGGAATGCTTTTTGGTCTAATGAGGTACTGCAGAAGATAATCATGGACCTGGAAGGATGCACTCCATCCAAGAAAGCTCAAGTTCTCAGAAACAGACTCTATGAGTGAGCTGTTTCCATGGTACGGCAGGTGGACACAATGCAGTTTCCTACCTCTTGGAATAAGGAACATTTATTTTTTATTTCACACACTCACAAAGAACTTCCTTTATTCAAAAGTGTACTCTGTTTGATATGAGTAGGTTGACCACTTGGGTGGGTGCTTTGAGTATGGGTGCTTTGAGTAAAACTGATATGCTGTCATAGCTTAAATTCCATGAACAAATGTCAATGATCAATGACAGCATATCAGTTTTACTCAAAGCACCCATACTCAAAGCACTATACTCTGAAAAAGGTGGACAGTAATGATGAGTATTAGTAGTCCAAAGCTTCCCCTGACGTTTTTGTTTATTTTTCATGAATTTTAATATCTGGGTGGATTGTCCTATTAACCAATAGCTTTAACCAAAAAACTATGCACATGTTAAAACAAGCACAAACACAACACAAAAAAGCTGTGTTAAAAATAGCTTAAATTCCATGAACAAATGCCAATGAGCAATTTTTAACACAGCTTTTTTGTGTTGTGTTGTTTTTGTGGTTGTTTTGACATGTGCATAGTTTTTTGGTTAAAGGGACACTGTGTAGAGTTTTAGGTATTTTATTATCAGAAATCAATATTTTTATTCATAAATATGTCCTCAATGGTGTACAAATACCTCTGCAAAAAATCTGACTTGTCCTCGTAAATGAAGAATTTATTATCTTTATGTACATGGGACGGGTAGGTTCACGGAGGCTTCCATGTCCGTTCCGCCATCTTGAAAAACTATAATAGCAAAGAGGGCCAAAAAGTACCACCAGCCAAACGCGTTTCCACAACGCATTTTCGTTCAGACTCAGAGCCAGCGTCACGTCACATTGAGAGCATTCCCTGAATTGCTCTCCTATGATTGCTGATTGCTCTATTATTTGTAATGGCGGACCATACATATGCCGAGTCACAGGAGAATGCATCTTCCACGCAAAAAAAGGCAAGACTAGAACGAAAAAGGAAACGTGACCGGAGATTGCAAAAAACGAGAGTAAATATTGGGATCGCGTTTTCAAGGTGGAAAGAGCTAATGCAGCATAAAGATTTCAGAAGAGACGCTGAAATTGCCTGCTTTCTCCTCGACAGGTTAGTCAATGTTACAGTCTTACTTAATTTTTTTGTCATTGCTTGGTTGTGTACTTTATTATATATACAGTATAACATAGGTAAAAAAGTTAAACAAGGTATTTGATGAATAGCAGCTATTGACTACTTTACTCGCTGCTATTGTGAAGGTGCTAAAAACAAGGTTTGTAAGTTTACTCTTTATAACCTATAAATTCAGTAAGAATATAGAGATAATGAATGTTTTTGCATTGTTTGCACACCTAATGATATTTCAAGTTTTTAGTTATCTGAAATTTTATGTTATTTATCATTTATACTGTGACCTCGCATTGAATAATACAGACGCATACAGTAATTTTGTATGTAGCCTATGCCTATAGTTTTATTTGTGAACATTGGAGAGGGTCAACAACTGCTGGAGTCAAGTCCCTTTTATGTAAGAATAAATGGTCAATAAACCATGATCTGATTTTCCCATCTGATTTGTGCAGTTATGAGAGTACCCTTTTGAGTTGTAATACATCAACCCCCATCAAGGCAAAATGTGTTCAAGTGGCAAATGCTCCAGCGTTGTCAAGCATTTCCAGTGGGACAGATAGGTAAGTCATTTAATTGAAATAATTTTTTAATTGTTAAAATACAAGTTTCATATTAAACTTGTATCTACCTATGCATCATATTGTCTTATGATTTTTGCTTTTAGAGCTGAACAACAAAGTGCACCGGAAGTTGAAACCCTTGAACAGAGGTAACCCATAAACAGTCAATTTTGTGTCCCATATCAATACTATCTGGTTGCATGTTTTCAGCTAATACATGCTTTGAATTATCATTTATTTTCATAGTATGCATGACATGAGTATTGTTGAAGAGGAGTTGAATGAAAATGCCTTCAATGACCCCATGAACAGTGTGTAAGTGGGATTCTCTTCTATTGTATAATTTGATTTTTTTTCAGTTTTTTTTATTCATTTCAGTTTGTTGTATCTTACAGGATTGATTTGGAAGAAGAGGGACCCTCATTTCATGGTTACCTGGACGACAGCTCTGATGAGGAATACCTTCCAACAATTTCATTGCGGTGAGTCATTATCTATTACTTCTTTTTACTTTGTTTATGTGCTGAATTTTTACATGTAAAAAAATGTTTAGGGCTATTTTGGAATGTTTTTGAATTCTTTTAGTTCACACTGATGTCTCAGGTAATAAATTTGATCATGTTTATATGCCGGAAAAACTTGGAAATAATTCAATTGAACTGTGTATGATCCCTGAAGTTCTTCTCTTCCAGAATGGGTGGTGCAATGAAGGGAGCACAGGTAATTGACAATCTGCCAACTATTGGGATTGATGAGACTGTGCATGATCTGCCTGCCCCTGAAGTCCCTCTCGATGAGCCCTTGAGTCTCGAGCTGCCGATTTTGCCAGGCCCTCAGAAGGTCCTCAGTGAGGATGACATTATTGGCGTTAGATCAGCTGTGCTCTATGAGAACTGCTTGAGGCAGCTTGTCACATTTTTAACTCTTCCCGTGAACAGATGCACTGGTGTCTTGAGGACTGGTTTAGTGTGTGACAGTGTTGCCCCATTTTCAACAAACATCGGCATCAGGGGCACTGCAATGAGTGTTGAATGGGTAAGCCTTTCACATCACATCAAAATGTATCGTAACAAATGGCACTGTTTATGCCTTATGAATTTTACAATGCTACCCTTATCTTACCAGATCTGCCCCAATGGACATTGCCTATGGCGGTGGAATTCACAGCCTGTGTTGAAGTTTGGCATGCAGGCTGGGGACTTTCTTCTTTCCACTAACATTTTACTTTCTGGAAACAACTACACTAAAGTTGCTCTCCTATTTAAATTCATGAACATACAAATGGTAAACACCAACACACACTACACCATCCAGGACACCTACTGTGTTGACACTATTAAAGCTTTTTGGGAAGAGAAGAGGTCTGAATCCATCAGCCGAGCAAAAGGGAAAGATGTTGTGCTCCTAGGTGGGTAATTATATATTTGAACTTGTTCTCCATTAATTGTTATGGTATTAAACAATTAAACTAATTTTGCAATCACTTTATCATACAGGTTTTGTATTTTGAAATTACCTGTATTTCCTTTTTCTTTAGGTGATGGCAGAAATGACTCACCAGGGCATTCTGCCCAATACTGTAGCTACACAACCATGGAGCTTGACTCTAAGGAAATCATCCATGTGGCCACTATAGACAAGCGGCAGACCAACTGGAACTCCAACATCATGGAGAAGGAGGGTTTTATCCAGACAGTGGACAAGCTTACGCAAGAGATCAAGGTAGTGGAGTTCTGCACGGATGCTCATGTTTGGAGCCCTTTTGAGTAAGTGGTCAAATAATAAAACATTTGAATAGAAATATTGAATTGCTGATTGAGAAATGATTCTATACTTCAAAGACCCAGATAAAGGAAAATATAAGGATCTGAAAATTCACCACAGCCTGGACATGTGGCATGGTGCCAAAAATTTGTGCAAAAAAATAGCAACCGTAAGTTCTAATACATCTAATTTCATTTATAAAGATTTGTACCTTCCTGCATGTCGGTGTAATAATTTTGTTATGTTAGGTCTCCATCAAAATATTTACAAGGACTAACTTCCATTGTCTCTGTTTTGTTAATTACCATAAGGCGGGAAAGGTGAAAGGACAGTCTATTCTCCTTCACTGGCTGAGGGATATAGTTAACCATTTCTGGTGGTGCTGCAAGACGGCAGAAACATTTGAGCAGTTTCTTGTAAGCAGGAAGAATGTTATAATAGAAATAAATGATAATAATGCAATGAGTCAAAAAACTTTGATATGATAATGTTTTTGTTTAATTGTTTTACTTTCCTCAGGCACTTTGGATTGGAGTTCTGCATCATGTTTGCAACAATCACACCTGGGAAACAGGAAGCTGCCAACACGACCACCTTGAAGACACTCAGGATAAAGAGTGGATTGAGAGAGATTCAAAGAGCCATAAAGCGCTTGTGGAGATCGTCCTCAACAAGCGTTGGCAGAAGGATGTCCACAAGTATCTGCGCTTCAGGTAAAGCGTGGAGACATGACATTTTAAAAGAAATCTAAATGATGCGCAAGTCATGTGTGGGTGTGTTTTTTAGTCTAAATCTATTTTTTAATTTGTCCAGATCGACAGCACATCTCGAGTCTTTTCAGAATCACATTCTGATGTATGCCAGCAAGCGCCAGGCCTTCACTCCCCGAGTGTATGACACGAGAGTTGTGCTTGCAGCCCTGGACTACAATTTCCACCGGGAACGACCGGCATACAGGACGGCTGAGGGCCAACAAGTGTATGTCAAACTCTCAACAATTTGTTATATTCAAATAATTGCAATTTCACATTTTAAATTATGTATTCAGAAATATGACAGTTTATTACTCATAATGATTAAATGACTTGTAGCAATTGTCTTTTGTTAATTTAAGTTATAGGAAGAAGTACAATAAAAATGCCAGAAGATATAGCCTTTACACCATGAAGTGTACAAAATCATATGGTTACATCCCTGAGATACAAGCACGCATCTTGAAGGCGAGAGTCACAAGTGGAATTGGGATGCCGCGAAAGAGGTCCCTAAGAGCAGATGACCCAAGGCGTCTTGGTGTTGTGCCACCGATACATACCGCCACCATCAACATCAGAGCTGATGCATACACAGGTCACCAGAGGTCTGGGTAAGTGACAAACATCTACTTGGCCTTATTTTAGCCCATTAATTTTGTCACATACTGATTCTTCATTGTGTATACATTTAATTGCACTTGTCTTTCACAGGATCTACCTTCCATGCTATTACCAACTTGGAGACAGATTGAGATTGAGTTGTTTTACTGATATTTGAGTTGTAAATACATGATCAAAAATCATGCTACTTATAAATAAATATATGTTTGCGTTTTCAAACAAACTTCATTTTAAGTTTTTTGTGTATCATTCATTTTGCACATCATTTTGAAATGTTTCTCTATCCCTATTTTAGAAAAAATACATTACAAAGTAAATTAACAAATATTTTATTCTTTATAACAAAGTGTGAAGTAAACAGAACTTCAAAGAATACAACATATATAAATCGATATTACTATTTACAAAACGTTTTTAGATCCCTGGAATGTAGCCAGTGTATTGTGCCTGAGGGTCTGGGAATTTTTCCCTAATCCTGTAAACACAGCAGCTTGGAATGACTCTCCTGTTTCCCTGTCCTAATGAGCCATGCTGCCAGAAAATAAAGTGTCTATAAGCTGCATGCCTGTATTCTCGGTTGTCATCACCAGGCTCCCTTACATTTCCGAAAGCAGTGAGATCCTCCCGGTACTTTCTATGTATCCGAAGATATCCCTCATCCAGGCAGTATTGTGTAAAATGTGGAAGGAGGCTCACGCAGTGTGCAGGGTCCTGTCCACAGCATTTCCGCTCCCTGTCGGTCGGCATGTCTCTGCAGTTGCTACAGGTACACCATGGTACCCCTGGAACCTCCGCAGATGTAGGGGCACCATGTCTTTGCTGATGCTCGATCAATAAATCAAAGACCAGACCCGGCTGCCTCTCCAACAATCTACCTGTGAGGCGTATGTGATCCTCAAGGCTCATGTTCTGCAGTAGTCTCTGAAGAAATGAAAGGAAATATGATTATAAGATAAGATCTAGTCCATTAGATATACATGTAGGTACAACATACATCATGTTTTGCAGTATATTGCACTTGAGGCATTGCAGGGATCTCATGTATAAGTGTTTTTAAAAAAAATATGTGTGCGCAAAAGAAAACATTGCTCTCTGTAAGATTTTCTATAGCTTTCTTTTTTTTTATATATTTAAATTATCAATTGGCTAAAGTTATGATTTTGCTATGTGGATAAGATTGTACAGAGAATTAAAATTAATTTTTACAGCTAGACACATAAATTGTACAAACCTCGGTCGTTTCTCTTCGCTGCCTTTGAAAACTTTCAATTCTACTTTGATCGTCTCTTGTAGTTGCCGGGTATCTTTGTCGTCGTTGTGTTGACTCTCGCGCTCCTCGTCGTCCATCTCCTCGCCTAACGTTAGATCCCACTGATCCACTGCCTCTCTGTCCTCTCCCTCTACCTCTACCTCTTCCTCTTCCTCTCCCTACTGCTGAATCATCCGATGATGATATCTAACAATCAGGTAATTCAGAAAATATAACGAATATAGGCGGCATTACTACTAATTACAACAGTTCATGTTTTTCAGTGTCAGCAACTCATACTGTAACATTCGTTTGTTCATTGTGTCAAGTTGCTGTTTTTTTTAAATTACAAACCTGTTCACCCGGAGAAAAACTCGATGAAGTGTTACTACAAGGCATCCTGTCATAGCATTTTGGTACATAACGGCAACCGTAGATGCAATACGCACTTGAAAAAGCGAGGCGCTGGAGAGCAAAATTCGTTTGAATGCAAAATAATATTTAACCACTAGATGGGGGTAGATCCTACACAGAGTCCCTTTAAAGCTATTGGTTAATAGGACAATCCACCCAGATATTAAAATTTATGAAAATTAAACAAAAACGTCATGGGAAGCTTTGGACTACTTATACTCATCATTACTGTCCACCTTTTTCAGAGTATAGTGCTTTGAGTATGGGTGCTTTGAGTAAAACTGGTATGCTGTCATTGATCATTGACATTTTTTCATGGAATTTAAGCAATTTTTTAACACACAGAGAAGGCTTGCTACTTAAAGGAGAACTCCGGCGAACAATGAACCTTTGGTCTAATAAAACATCGGTACCTAGTCAATCGTTCTCTGAGATTTGTTTTCATGATAATCGAATGCGAGTTTTATCTCTAAAAACTGTTTAGCGTATAATGGTAGTAATGGGGGCATTGACTAAGTAAAAAGAAACCGCTGGTTTATACCACTAACAAGGCTCACAAATAGCCCCACACTAACGCAGTAACATAATGAGGCTCCATACATGCAAAACGAAGCATTGAGAACTTTGTAAGTGTACAGACCGTTTAATAAGAAGATACTTTATGAAGACAGTTCACTTCATGTATACAGACAGGAGCCATCTTAAAAACTAGTCTCGATAAGTCAAACCACGAACGTCGTGCTGAGTGATCTGAACTCTATGAAGTTCAACGAACTTCTGAACTGTATGAACGACGTTCAGGGATCGACTTATCGAGACTATATTTTTTAAGATGGCTCCTGTCTGTATACATGAAGTGAACTGTCTTCATAAAGTATCTTCTTATTAAAGGATCTGTACACTTACAAAGTTCTCAATGCTTCGTTTTGCATGTATGGAGCCTGATTATGTTACTGCTTTAGTGTGGGGCTATTTTGAGCCTTGTTAGTGGTATAAACTAGCGATTTCTTTTTACTTAGTCAATGCCCCCATGGCTAGCATTATATGCTAAACAGTTTTTAGAGATAAAACTCTTTACATTCGATTATCATGAAAACAAATCTCAGAGAACGATTGACTAGGTTCCGATGTTTTATTAGACCAAAGGTTCATTGTTCGCCGGAGTTCTCCTTTAAGGTTTTTGATAAAAGGATTTTTCTTTATTTAATGGACTTCAATGGGGACCAAACGGTTCAAGGTCCAAATGAGAGTTTCAGTGCAGCTTCAAAGGGCTTTAAACGACACCAGACGTTGAATAAGGGTCTTGTCTAGCGAAACCATCGGTCATTTAATAAATAACAAAGTTTAAGTTTTATAAGCACAAATGCTCGCCTTGCTCTGTTCTGTGATGCGCGTTCGTGACGTCGATTCAAAATGTCCTGCCAGGGCTCCAGACTAACTTTTTTCACCTCAGTCCTGAAAAACTTTTTGAACCGTCCTAATTAAAGTGAATGTCAACCGTCCCAAAAGCAAAATGTTGTTTCTGTACTTTATTGTCTATAGTTGTTAGTCACATAATAAAAACACCATTACACTATTTATGATATATATTATTATATAGAGATACACCGATTGATCGGCTGGTGATCGGAATCGGCCGGTTTTCACGTGATCGGCCATGATTGGCCGTTTTTATGCCGGTCAAACCTCGTAGTAAACCTTGTGAATTAAGGCCGTTTCACACTGCAAGCGGGAGCAGCGAATTTTTTTTTTTTAAGCGTGCATGTTAATCCACACTGGTAGCTGGAGCAGCGTGTGAGCATGTTATTCACTGAGTGTATATAATATAACACGATCAAATTCACGTGATTGAGTGATATTAAAATGCGTCATTCCGTTCACAGAACGCTCCGTATATCAAAGGTTTTTATTTTTGTGCAAAATCAATCTAGCGCTCCGTAAACCACTGTCTGATAGGTACTTTTGCCTATTAATAAGATACTAGATTCAGATCGTTTCGTGCAGCCTAGCGAAATGATCGGTCATTTTTTTTAAATGACCGATGGTTTCGCTAGACAAGACCCTTATTCATCATCTGGTGTCGTTTAAAGCCCTTTGAAGCTGCACTGAAACTCTCTTTTGGACCTTGAACCGTTTGGTTCCCATTGAAGTCCATTATATGGAGAAAATCCTGTCATCAAAATTTTAATTTATTTTCGACTGAAGAAAGAAAGACAAGGACATCCTGGATGACATGGGGGTGAGTAAATTATCAGCAAAAGTGAACTATTTTAAAAGTGATTTGTTATTATTTAAAATTTATATTATTTAAAAGTGAACTAATCCTTTAATAATACACTAATGGTTAGCCCATTATAAATAACTTCTGTAATAGTTTAACCAGGGTTTCTACAACTTTTGACAAAGAATCTCAGAGAACACTGTCAAGACACACATTTAAAGGGATCGTTCACTTTGAAATTAATTTTTGATATGTTTTTATCTTACCTCAAGGGCATCCAAGATGTAGGTGTCTTTGTTTCCACAGTAGTTTCAATTTTGACATTTTTTGGTCAAACTGTTGTTGTCTGTCAGTCATACACTGGAGGTTAAGGGGGTCCACAATCGGTTCACCTCAAAGAGCATGCACAGAGAAGTCAAAATTAATTAATGATTTAATGACTCGTGACTGTAAGTACACATTGATGGCATAAGACACGAAACGAGCGGTTTGTGTGAGAAAACTAACCGTATTTATATAGTTTTTACTTCTTGTTAACAGCCGTCGAACTGATCTGAATCAGATGTCCAACGTTGAACATATTTAGATATACCGGAAATCGCAATGGAAGACGATTTCGATATATCTAAATATGTTTAGTGAAAGGTAAAACTTCCGAAATCTCTGTGTAAACAATGCGTGACGTAGACGCGCGAGAGATCACTTCCGGTGTAACATCTGGAGACGGTTCAGTTTGGTTCAGTTGGACATCTGATTCAGATCAGTTCGACGGCTGTTAACAAGAGGTAAAAACGATATAAATACTGTTCGTTTTCTCACACAAACTACTCGTTTCGTGTCTTAGGCCATCAATGTGTACTTACAGTCACGAGTCATTAAATCATGTTTAATTTGGACTTCTCTGTGCATGCTCTTTGAGGTGAATCGATTGTGGACCCCCTTCACCTCCAGTATATGACTGACAGACAAGAACGGTTTGACCAAAAAATGTCAAAATTGAAAATACTGTGGAAACAAAGACACCTACATCTTGGATGACCTTGAGGTAAGATAAAACATATCAAAAATGAACCATCCCTTTAAAGGCTTTTTCAAATAAATGTTTAAGTTTAAAGCGTATTAAAGGGTTAGTTCACCCAAAAATGAAAATTAAGTCATTAATTACTCACCCCCATGCTGTTCCAGCCCCGTAAGACCTTCGTTCATCTTCGGAACACAAATAAAGATATTTTTGATTGAATCTGAGAGCTGGATCAGTCCTAGATAGACTGCCTAAGGGACTGGCTCTTGACGGCCCATAAAGTCATTAAAGAAAAGGTTTAAATATTCCATGTGCCTACAGCG